TGCCATGGGGCCAGCGGCTGTTCTCTTCCTCCTCCTTATGCTCAGTGTCTCTGAGGCCAAGCGGGCGGCAGGTAAGACCAGTCTCTGTGCTCTGCAGCTGTGGGTTTGTTACTCTGAGTGGTCACAGAGGTGTGAAAAGAAAAGGCTTCTTGATATCTGGGTAGACAGATGAAATTGTGCTCTGCGCTGAGGAGCTCCAAAGCTTTCAGTGAACAAAAATGTTTTAACCTAAGTGCTATCTAATTATGGGTTATGAACAGGAAACTTTCTCTGGTGTGGCATTTACGGAAACTTCAAAAAATGAATGTAGAGACCCCAGGGCTTCAGAGCACAGCTTATCCACCTCTCTATGGTAGGCAGAGAAGAGGAGGAATCTAATGTAGGAACTAGATGGAGAAGGAATGGGGCAGTATGCTACTGTATTGGGGGCCATAGAGAAATTACCCTGCTTGTGGTCACCCTGCCTGACTAAGCGAGCACTCTTTGCAATATGCCCATACTAGGATACAGCAACCAGGGCTTCTGCTGTCTATTTCTCTTGTATTAGAGCCTAATGAGGTGCCAAAACTGCCGCTATCTTTGTGCGTCAGGCAGCGGGTACCTGGCACTCCTGTGCCCACTGGCTCCTTTACAAGACTGCACATGTACTGCCCCACAGCAAATCCTGGTGAGACTTGAGATACTGTCACAGCTTGTGTCTGCTCTAACATGAGGCTCTGTCCCTTGCATTACATAGAACTTGAGCTAATGTGTTAGTAGCCCCCGAAGAAATGCACTTAACTTAGTCTCTTGTCCCTTGCTCGTGGGCTCATCCCTCTGATTGCTTGCTCTGATCTCTCTGCAGAGTCAAGGGGAGATGACAACAGCGTGTTTGATCTCTTTGAACTCATCGGCTTTATTCGCAAGGGAGCTGGGCGCCGGGCACCAGGAGTGCACCTGGTAAAGGGACCAGAGTCTTCCAGCCCTGCTTACCGTATTGAAGATGCCAGTCGCATCCCAGCTGTCCCTGACGACAAGTTCCAAGACTTATTAGATGCCATCCATGCTGAGAAGGGCTTCATCCTTCTGGCCACTCTCCGGCAAGCCAAGAAGAGTAGAGGCACACTGCTGGCTGTGGAACAGAAAGATGGCTCTGGTCATGTCTTCAGTCTGGTATCCAATGGCAAGGCAGGCACCCTGGACCTGAGCCTTTCTGGTGATGGCAAGCAACAGCTAGTGTCAGTAGAGGATGCCTTGCTAGCTACAGGACACTGGAAGAATATCACCCTGTTTGTGCAGGAGGACCGGGCTCAGCTCTATGTGGGGTGTGAGAAGATGGAGAATGCTGAACTCGACATCCCCATCCAGAACATCTTCACTAGGGATCTGGCCAGCAGTGCCAGGCTCCGTATTGCCAAAGGAGGAGTCAACGACAACTTCCAGGTAAGACTTTCACTTCCATTTTGGCTAGTATTTTCAGTCATCTGCCTTGAAGATGTTATCAGCTACTCAGGCAGCCTAAACATCTACAAAGATGCAGCTCATATGGCAAAAGGGGGGCCACCACAAATCAGCTTTTGTATATCTGATATGAACACTAAAGTCACTAAATTGTAATAATGCAATTTGAAGTGAAGCACAGATCTGCAAGGTTGGAACTTCCTACAGCAATAACTAGGTCCTTGTGGTCAAGGATGAGAATGTTAGGAAGCAGGGCTTGTTCTCGCTGAGGAAAACAAAGTTTCGCCTTGCAATCTGTCTGATGTGAAACTACTTTTAATGATCGTATGTGAAGTTAAGTGTCTACAAATGCTTTCCATGTAAGTTGCGCTTCTTCCCCTTGCTGTTGCTATAAGTAGCTGTAATTCTTCCTCTGTCCACAGGGACTGCTGCAGAATGTGCGGTTTGTGTTTGGAACAACTCTGGAAACTATTCTGAGGAACAAAGGCTGCTCCAGCTGTAAGTCTGCAGTCTTTTTCTGAATCCAATGACCTATTAAAAATAAATTCCTCAGTATGTTAGGAGGACAAGTTGAGACAGAACTCAGAAGTATGCTGACATACAAATCCAAATTGCATAAGAAATAAGATTATTTTTCTGCAGGCACCCTAATGAATCTGGTAACAGCTGTTTAGCAGGTGTTACCCTGCAATGATAAAAGCACATGGTTGAAAAATGCATTTACCTTATGTGCGTATTTGTTGTCTCTTAGCCACTAGTGCAATCATTACATTGGACAACCCTATCAATGGCTCAAGCCCAGCTATCCGCACTAATTACATTGGTCATAAAACAAAGGACATCCAAGCAGTCTGTGGTTTTTCCTGTGATGAACTAACAAACATGTTCGTGGAACTGCAAGGGCTACGGTCCATGGTTACAACACTTCAAGACAGAGTGCGCAAAGTGGTGAGTGTTGGCTAAATTCACGTTACCTTTCATTAACTCTCACTTAGTGAGTGAATTCTGACTTGCCCTTTGTGTGCCTGGGTGAGGAGTAATAACTTTACTGTGGTCTGGTCTATCAATTTTGTGGAAAAGGATGTTTTTTGTATTGAGTTCTAAATATCTTCTCTCTGCTCCCCCTCCTACCCTTAAGACTGAGGAAAATGAACTGATTGCTAAAGTGGTCCAGATTACTCCTGGAGTATGCATTCACAATGGAATCTTCCACAAAAATAAAGAAGAGTGGACTATTGACAGCTGCACCGAATGTACTTGCCAGGTAAGATTCTTCACATTCATAAATCCTCTGAATACAAACTCATGAGTTGAAATTAAGAGATGTTTCCTTAATGACATTCTTTGTCTAAAAGTGAATCCTACACAGGAATAGGCATACTAAATAGCCACAGAAATACTCTGCTTGTATCTTATTCTATGGAATCTCTGATATGAATGCAGCTTTCATACAGTATTACGATAGCAGCATTTTAGAAAGATTATACAGAACATTACTCTGATACAACAGTTAACACATGTCTAATCCCATGATTTGGGGAATGCCTGTGCTCTTTACATAAATCCAAGTAAACTAAGAGGCAGCAGTAGAACAAACTTATAGTGGCTATTGTCTTTCCTCCCTGATATACCTTGGCTCTACCTTCTGTCCTCACTGAACCTCCTCTTGGCTTAAAAGGAAAAGACCTTCTGGTACTCTGTAAAGGCTCTTAACAAACTTGCGAGTTTTTCTCTTTATATAACAAATGCTTCTGGCTGTGTCACATGGGCTGTTACAGATTATGTGCAACAGCAATCCCTTCTAGACTGCAGCTTAGCTATTTGAATCCCGGCATCACCTTACAAGATATTTAAGCTTTGTGTTCTGCTTCTGTGGAATGTTTTAAATTGAAGTAAAATATACGTTTTCACAATTTCTTTAAACTCATTGCTTACTCCCTTGAATTTTCAGTGTTCTTTAGCAAAAGGGTTTTGGAGTAGCAGTCTACCAGAGCGGCATAACTTGCTTGCCTCTGTTTAGTGACTTAACGCTGAGTGTTTGTAGATGTGCCATCAAAGGTATCTCGCCAAGCTCTGCATCTGCTTCTATAGGTCTTGACATTTTTTGTCTTGTATTTGGCAAGTGATACTGTGACTTCTGCCCATGCTTTCCCAACCCTCTTATTCAATGTTAGCTGTAATCACCTTAATGTACTCTTTTGTTTGGAAAAGAGGGGAGATTAAAATGGTAATTATGACAGCATTCTTCTGACCAAGCTGCTACCTTCAAGAAGCAAAACTACAGGCTGCAGATTAGCTCTTAGTCAGTTTGGAGGTGGGTGTTCTTACTCTGCCTGCTTGGCTTAAAGATCAAAGACCTCTAAATATAAGCTGGGGGTTTTACGGCTCTTGAGCCATGAAGACTAAACTCACTTTCCTTTCACCATATAATCAGTGTAAATCCATATTAACAGACAAAGTGGGCTTCAAATATTTGGTTCATTCCCTTGAAGTCCCAGGGAATTATACTTGGAATATCATATAATAATCTTTGACTCTAGCATCTAGTAACTGCCTTTGTTCAACTTCCACTAAATGAAAATATTTCAACTCTTAACAGAAAAATAGTTAAGGAATATGGGGGAGAGAGAAAATGGCGATGTGACAAAGTTTGACTAAGAATACCTGGAACTACCCTTGCATTGTATCAGCTCTAAATATAAGAGCCTGTATTTTAGGCATACTGTTGAGTCTTTTCTAGGTCCTGGAGAAAAGATCTTTTATCACTTGACCTTTACAGCTCCAAGTTCAGGCTCCACAGATTATATTTATATTCTACTTGTTTATCATGATTCTCGTAATTCTTTGTAGAACTCTGCCACTATATGCCAGAAGGTGTCATGCCCTCTAATGCCTTGTTCCAATGCCACTGTTCCTGATGGGGAGTGCTGCCCTCGATGCTGGCGTAAGTACTTAAAAATACCTCACGCTTCTGCAGCAATTGGCTCTAGCTAGACATACTGCTCTAAAATGCACCACAATTAGGTATAGCCTTATGCTACTGGTGGAGTTAGGTTAGTCTGATGCCTCTTTGAGGTTAACTGCCTGCAATTTAAAACCCACATGACTATCCTTTGCTAAATAGCCTATGGCATACAAACATGCTATATTTACTTCTAAGTGCCACTTCTCTACAGAATGACCACTGTCTTTCTGAAAACCAGAACATTTCAGACAGGTTTTAGATCTCTCTACATTTCTGTAGAGAAAGTAAGGTTTTAGAGATTCTTTGGATCAGTGTCCTTAAGACAAAATTCAAAAGGAGTTCTAAAATCCAAATAATGTAACACAAAATGTAGGCAGGACATGCTATTAAATTATATTAGACAGCTCTAATGTAGTGCATTTGCTAGTTGAATGCCTTTCAGTAGTCTGTGCTACTCCAAATTTCAGCGAGTTATATTCCAGAGGACAATAGTCTAGCTCTCCTTAGCTGCAAAGTAGCTATGAAGGAAGCATACTTATAAAAAGTTCAAAATGGATTTCCAGAAGATTTCTGTCTAGAAGTTTTATAATAAGGAACTGTAATTCTCAGTTTTAAAATCAAGACTGTATGGGAATCTTTCAGGTTCCTATCACTTCTATGGGTAGATTTCTTTTCTCCTCAGCAAACAATACTGTAAATTGTTAATGCTTGTTAATCTTGATTGTGCCTAGAAAAGAGAAATTTTGCAAAACTGACCTCAAACTAGTGGTGGTGACTGAATGATGAACCAGATAAAACAATGATGAATTCGGAAAGGCCGGAAAGAGCAAACTGGTGTAGAAAGTTACAAGAGCACTTCTTGTTTTGACATAACTTCTTACAATCCTTTTAGAACTGAATGCAGGAAAAGTTATTGTATACTAATCAGGTGTCCTTGTGTCTTAAAGTAAGCTGGAAGTTGACAGGAAACGACTCAATTCCTGTCTGAGCTTTTAGACACCTGAAATGCATAGGTGATGCATGTGGGCACTGAAACATTAGAGTTCATTCTCTTTATCTTGTAAGAGAAAGGCAGATGCATGTAGCTTTTGAGAAGCATTGTGTCCATTTTGAGAGGGGTGGGAGAAAAGACTATGGAAAACACATCTCTGGAGTCTTACTCGGGCTATAACAGAACTGTGCACCTTTGCAGCTAGCGACTACGCTGATGATGGATGGTCTCCTTGGTCTGAATGGACATCGTGTTCTGTGACTTGTGGGAATGGGATTCAACAGAGAGGGCGCTCCTGTGACAGTCTCAATAACCGCTGTGAAGGATCTTCTGTACAGACTCGGACTTGCCACCTTCAGGAGTGCGATAAGAGGTGTAAGTACTTAATTTGCTCACATTGGTAATAAAACACAGGGCACTTTTATTGGCTTAATACTTAACAACAAGGATAATCATGCTGCTTGGCTCTGTCGTGGGGATGGAGCACTGCCTTATAGCTCTATGATATTAATCAGATGAAAGGGAGCAGATAGTTCATGTAGTACATAGGTATGATTGGGCGCTGCTCCCAAATCAAAACTTCAGGCAAGTTGAGGTGTGGGCTTCTTTTAGTGGAAAAAACAACTTGGTGGCCTGTGATGATGCTGTAGCTATCCAATATATATTGAGTCTTTGGTACAGTTCTGGTACTGGCTATGTTCTAGGAGCTGTGTAACTGAAGTTTGTTCTTCAAAAACTCTAATGACAGGTCTCTCTCTTGCAGTTAAACAGGATGGTGGCTGGAGCCACTGGTCACCATGGTCATCATGTTCTGTCACTTGTGGCACGGGTGTGATCACTAGAATTCGTCTCTGCAACTCTCCAGTACCACAGCTGAATGGCAAACCTTGTGAGGGTGAGGCAAGAGAAACCAAATCCTGCCAGAAAGATCCTTGCCCAAGTAAGTGTGTCCAAGTGATAACTGCTGTTCATCAGCTTAAATAGCGAAATTTTTGAGTAGAAGGCTGCTATCTAATCTGTTTCTAGCAGTTTTTTCCCTTTAAACTTAGAGATTGACTAGGTAAAACCTCAGAGGTTACAGTTTCAGACAAGTTATTTTCTACTGTAGTTGTGGTCTAACCCTTGCATGGAGTTCATTAATTAGGGCTCCTATTCTGTCATTTACATCTGAACAATGCCTGAACTGTTCTCACTACAAAAGCATAATTCTTAGTCAGTGAGCTTACAAACCAGTAGTATCACTGAATTTAAAACTGAACTTGTCTCCTAATTTCTACCTCCCTTTAGTTAATGGCAACTGGGGACAGTGGTCTCCATGGGATGCTTGCACAGTCACATGTGGTGGAGGACTTCAAAAACGTAGTCGTCTCTGCAATAATCCTGAGCCTCAGTATGGCGGGAAGACTTGCGTGGGTGAGGCTAAAGGGACTCAGGTCTGCAACAAACAGGACTGCCCAGTTGGTGAGTATCCCTTTCCCCACAAACATCTGAAAGTTGTTGTCAATCTTGAAAGCACTAATTAAAAATTATGGCAAAAGCCCCTTTAAAAAAAACAAGTCCTAGAGCTTTCAGCTGGCATATCGCAAAACACACAGTACTGTAGTGGCCTGGTAAGTGTCCCTCATGTTAACACTGTCTGATTTGTCTCTCAGATGGGTGTCTGTCTAATCCCTGCTTTGCGGGAACTACATGTACCAGCTTCCCTGATGGCTCCTGGAAGTGTGGTGCCTGTCCTGCTGGCTACCACGGTGATGGTGTCCACTGCCAAGATATTGATGAGGTAAGAAGGATAGTCTGCTTGAAAGGGAGCAGAATAAAATGGGAAGGGAAAATAAAATCCCAATGCTTTAAAACACTTAAAACACTAAGTGATGTTCTCCTCTATCTCATACTCTTGCATTTCAGTGTAAAGAGGTTCCTGATGCCTGCTTTGTCTTCAATGGAGTGCACAGGTGTGAGAATACTGAACCTGGGTACAACTGTCTGCCTTGTCCACCACGTTTCACGGGGACGCAGCCATTTGGCCGCAGCGTTGAGGATGCCATGGCTAACAAACAGGTATTGTCAACTTGAGATCTAGGTTACAAATCCTCGAGAAGTTTCTAGACAATAGAAAGCAGCTAGGCATTTTGGGTAAGAGGGATACAGGACTTGGTATATTTGATAAAACACTATCTTCTCTGATTCAGAATAGGAGAAGCATTAAGCAATTCCAGGTTGGAGTTCAAAATGAGTTTTAAGATTCCTGTCCTCCTCAGCCACAGGAGGTTTCATATGTTATATTTAATTTTAGGAGAATAATTTCCTAAGTATTCACTTATGATCCAGCAATATGACTTGAAGGTCTTTAAGTGATTGGGCCCACTTAAAAGTAAGAGGTCTGAACAAGAGAAATAACAATTGGTTATTGTTAATTGGTGTTAAGACTGCTGCTGGAGTTGAGGAATAGAGAGAAAGGAATGGATGAGAACTTTTTCTTTTTTTCTTCTGATTGAAGATCTCTGATCAGAACAGCCTTGTATTTTTCATGCCTTATTGGTATCTCTGGGGAAAAATGAGGGATTAAAAAGAAGCTTCCAGTGGATTTACTGTCTGTGTGGTCTTCTAGGTCTGCAAGCCACGTAATCCATGCACAGATGGAACACATGATTGCAACAAGAATGCCAAATGCAATTACCTTGGCCACTTCAGCGACCCTATGTATCGCTGTGAATGTAAACCAGGCTATGCTGGCAATGGCATAATCTGTGGAGAAGACACTGACTTGGATGGATGGCCAAATGAGAACCTTGTCTGTGTTGCCAATGCCACTTACCACTGTAAAAAAGTAAGTTTATGCTGGTGTTTTCCTGTCTACTATTTTAACAGCTTGCCTAACTAAGGAATATACAAAATATTTTAGGCTTGAGGTGTAAAGCGAGTTGCTCTTTAGTTAGAGCTGTTAAATTACCCTCTGTACAAATAAAATACTCCTCTGTGTAGGAGTACTACTGTCAAGTTATAGGCAGAAGTATCTTGATTGGTATAGCCTTAGACATTCCTGTAATATGGGGGGTGGGGAGGAAAAAAGCCTAAAATAACTATAAATTAGCAGCAGTAGTTTAGGCTATACCTGCATCAACTTCTGTCTGACAGATATCCACCTCCAGGGAAAGAAAAAGAGGGTATGATCCAGATTTTAAAATGATTTGGACTATGGTTTCTACACTTATCCTCACAATAGTATGACTAGTTAATCAGTAGAGTTACAGTAAGATAATACTTGTCTGACTGATATATTGTGATTATATCTAATGATTATACCTTACCTGCTTAAAAACCCTATTGTAATCGGGCCAGCAGTAAATACATCCATGTACTTTCTCCTTTCTAGGACAACTGTCCCAATCTGCCAAATTCTGGGCAGGAAGACTACGATAAGGATGGGATTGGTGATGCCTGTGACAATGATGATGATAATGACAGTATTCCTGATGATCGGGTAAGACAACACAAAAGAACAGCCTTTGTGAATGTAGCTCTCCCATTCCCCTTCCTAAAGCCAGGGTCTAACTTCTGACCTTAATCTTAAGATCATAGGAAATTGCTGGCACTGACAGCTATCCTTGAAACCTTTATATATGCATAAGTATACAGACAAAAAGCCTTCTGCAGCTGGTTGAGCTTTGGAAATGAAACTTCATTTTTATTCAGCTGTTCCTACACTCATGCAAGCAATGGGGTGTTTTGAGATAGAAGCATTTCAGTTTTAACTATGTGTCTTCCTGCCTTTCACTTCTTTCTTATAGCAGCTTAAGCAGAATAGGGTCTGGTTAAAGGTTTAGTCAGAATCTTTGTAAAGCTCTACTTTTCTCCCCCTTTCAGGACAACTGTCCATTCATCTACAACCCACAGCAGTATGACTATGACAAGGATGACGTTGGTGACCGCTGTGATAACTGCCCCTACAATCACAACCCTGATCAGACTGACACTGACAACAATGGAGAAGGAGATGCATGTGCAGTAGATATTGATGGAGATGGTAGGTGTCCTCTAATCACACCTTTGAACTGCTTTCTAATCACAGATTAATCAAATGATGCCTTATGCATGTTAACCTCTTACCAGAAGTTCATACCTGAACACACAAAAATTCACCTCTGGTGCTTTCAGAACGCAAAGGCTGTGTTACAAAGTAACACTGCTAATGGAAAATCACCTTGTAATATACACATTTAGGGACAGTTAAATTTTAGCCCTGTCCTCACAGGCGGTGGGAACAGAAATGGTGGGGGGAGGTCATGGTGTGTCAAGGTTGTAAAAGGGTCCTCATGCTTTCAAATATTTATCACTAAGTCCTTTGTTCAACAAGTCCTGTCAAACAGTCCTTTGTTGCATTTAGGTCTTTGGGCTTGCATTCATGAGCTCTCCTTAATTTTGCAGGTGTCCTTAATGAAATGGACAACTGCCAGTATGTCTACAATGTAGACCAGAGGGATACAGACTTGGATGGTGTTGGAGATCAGTGTGATAACTGTCCACTAGAACACAATCCTGACCAGGTAGGTAGGGGATTTGCATTATAGAGATGGTAAATTTGAATTATAGAAATATGGTATCTTGTGTGTTCCAGATCATATTTGAACAAAATTTACAGCTTGAATTTGACTTGGCACGTCAACAAGAACAATGTATACCAAGTGGTGCCTTTATGAGAGGATAGCATGCTCTCACAGTTTGAAAAGCTGCTAGATATTTTCTGAAAAGAATTCTAGTGAAGGTCTGCGAGACTATTGCATGTAATTATCTCTTGAACACTTAGGTTTGTCAAATATAATGATTCTCATACTAAGGATCTGAAATTCCTGGGAGCTCTGTATGAAATTCAAATGGGTAGGGACTACCCTCTTCAGTATCCCATAGTATAGTCCATGACATTTTTATCAGGCTGCTATTATACAGAAATTCTGTTGGTTAATCAAGACTTATATGAATTACAGATGGATTGCAGAGGCTGCCTATCTTAAAGTCCAGTTCCAATCTTTCTAGAATAGAAGCAATAGCCAAACACCTCTTAAACACATTTCTAGGACTTGCAGGATGTATGACATGTTATAAAATATGCTAGGAGCTGAATTACTTCAGGCATGAATAAGTCAAAGTATCAAATAGTGCTTTACATTTTACTACCTAAATGCAAGGTTTATAACCTTTCTTTAGCCTTTGTCCTTATCTCCAAAACAACTGCATTTCAAAAAAGTCACTTTTCTACCAGTATAGTAAAGCACAGGTTGCTTTACTTCTCTAGGGCAAAGGCATATTTTGACACTTGCAAAATCTTCCCCCTTAAAGTCTAGGGGGAATCCAGCCTCTCACACAATTTCTTCAAAAACTTTTGAAGGCGGAAGCAGATAAAGCCTGTGCTGTCCTGTCAAGTACAAGGCTGGAAAATTAATGGCTTCAGGCACATAACTGGAATGCTTGAAGGGTTAGAAAAGCCGCTGCAAAGCAGTGGAATCTAGTACAGTACTGTCATCTAGCCTATGAGCAGTGATACTCGGAGGATTTAAACTAAGACTATAAAATTACTTAACCTTATTTGTCACTCACTTGACTACTTTCCCCCCTGAGACTAGAAAGTGGCTGAAGATCCATTCTACTTTTCCCATTATTTACAGGCAGTGTTTTTTCTTGTAATGTTTTGGAATCTTAATATAAGTCTCTAGTGGCTTTCAAACACTTTTCTCATCAAGCTGTGGAGGCAGAGAGATAGATTCCAAACTGCAGAACTAGTAGCTATTGGAACCGTGTGGTATACCTTCTGCCAGTACTAACTCCTGAGCGATCAGCAGTGTTGGCAAGACTACTTGACTCAACCTTGAGGCAGCCTCAGAGATAACTGGATTGCTTTCCTTATTTCAGAAACAGTAAGCAATGACTAGCTAAAATGTGACAACAACCAGTTCATGTGATCTTTGCTGACCACTAAGGCAGTAATTGTCTTAACTTTCTGATGAGTCAGGGCATGAAGAACATTATAGGCTTTTTTATAATTAAGCAAATCATGATATGGAGTGGAAGCTGTTAAACCAACACCTGGTAGACTTTGTAAGTCTCCAATGGCTAGGTATGGAATAGTTCTGTCCTTATCTGGTCCCTGGAACCAGGAAGCCCCCTGAGCAGGTGGGAAGTCAAGTATTCTGTGTCAAACATCCTTGATTGTAGTGACAGAGTCACCTGGCAGAAGGGAAAAGAGGAAGAGAAGCTAACACCACACTGTTCTGCTGCTGTGGATTCAAATTAAAATCGGGGCAATACTAAAGCCCCAAAACTGAGCACAGGCAGCTTAAGCATGTATTAATTCTTCTATCTTAGTTCTTACTAAAGCAAGCAGAAATCCCAATTCTAGCTATTAAGGCTTCTATTTCTCTTCAAGTGGCTTTTTAAAAATGTTCTTTATTTTCCTCTTTCATAGGAGGATACTGACTCTGACCGCATAGGTGACGAATGTGACAACAACCAGGACATAGATGAAGATGGTCATCAAAATAACCTTGATAACTGCCCCTATGTGCCCAATGCTAATCAAGCTGACCATGATAAGGATGGAAAAGGTGATGCCTGTGACCATGATGATGACAATGATGGTATCCCTGATGACAAAGATAACTGCCGACTGGTTGCCAACCCAGATCAAGCTGATTCTGATGGTAAGATGGCAGTGCCATACTAACTTAAGATTAAGTCTCTTCCAACAGTTAGATACTTTATTATTTCCATACTATTCTGTATTGGACAAAACTTTCAAGTAACAAAAAACAGATTGTCTGTACTGATGTTACAGTATTCAACAGATGCAAGGAATAACTTTTGGGGAAAAAAAAAGCCACATACCTAGCTTATGGCTAATGTATGAAATATCAGGATGGAGAGAAAGGGCAGTATACAGTAACTGATCTGACCGTTGTAATGTGTCAGTGGTACTTGGGTAGTTAGAGCTTTGTAGTAAAGACTTCAACCCCATATCATTAAGACTTTGAAGCAACTGTGGTAACAAACAACTGCCAGTGCCTGATTTCTTGGAATTTGTCATGGTAAAATTACTTGCACCTTGCAGGTGATGGACGTGGAGATGCTTGCAAAGATGACTTTGACCAAGACAGCGTGCCAGATATTGATGACATCTGCCCTGAAAATGTGGACATTAGTGAGACTGACTTCCGACGATTTCAGATGATTCCCCTGGATCCCAAGGGAACATCCCAAAATGATCCCAACTGGGTGGTTCGTCACCAGGGTAAAGAACTGGTTCAGACAGTCAACTGTGATCCTGGACTTGCTGTGGGTAAGGGGAACGCTTTGACTTTTACAGGCATTGCCCCATTGGGCAGGGGCAGGGTGGAGGGACTGACAAACTACTAAAAAGTTGTTTAAGCATTATTTAAAAAAAAAAAAGGGTCTCAAACTTCCTTCTTTAATGCCCACACAGGTTTTGATGAATTCAATGCTGTGGACTTCAGTGGCACGTTCTTCATCAACACAGAAAGGGATGATGATTATGCTGGCTTTGTATTTGGCTACCAATCGAGCAGTCGTTTCTACGTTGTCATGTGGAAGCAGATCACCCAGTCTTACTGGGACTCCACACCAACAAAAGCTCAAGGCTACTCAGGTCTCTCCATCAAAGTTGTGAATTCCACCACAGGTCCAGGAGAACATCTTCGTAATGCTCTATGGCACACAGGAAACACCCCTGGCCAGGTAAGAATGGCACTTTGATAAACCACTTTTGTGTACTGTAAGGCAGGCTATTCTTCCAACAAGTTAGACACGTGAGTCTGCACATCCTGATCAGGATGTGCAAAATTTCTGGGCAAAGATGAGAAATAACTTTGTAATTATCCCCAGTCATGCAATATACTATGTAAAGTTAACAGGGTCTGTTAACTTGCAGACAGGGTCTCCAGCATAAAGGAATACCTTGTTCCTGGAATATTGAAGTATGTTCCCATTTATATATTTAAAAGTAAACGTAAATATAGCTGGTTTCAAAAGACCCCATTTCAGAGCCTATTGGATAACTTTCAAACTCTACTCCTCTCAAACTATCATCAAGACACTTTCATGGCAAAATAATGCCTAAGTTATCACAGGGCTGTGATTAATTAACAATATTTTCTTGTAGGTGAGAACTCTGTGGCATGACCCTCGTCACATAGGCTGGAAAGACTTCACAGCATACAGATGGCGTCTGAGCCATAGACCAAAGACTGGCTACATCAGGTGAGCACCATGCTTTTATCTGAAGTAATTATCACAAAGGAAAAATGATTTGTCTTAAACTAGAAATCTGTAAAGATAAACCCGACAGAGGCTTGTCAAAGATGACTCAACTTAATGTCTTTTTGTAGAGTTGTAATGTATGAAGGGAAGAAAATCATGGCAGACTCGGGACCAATCTATGATAAAACCTATGCTGGTGGTCGACTAGGATTATTTGTCTTCTCTCAAGAAATGGTGTTCTTCTCGGATCTTAAATATGAATGCAGAGGTAACGAGGACACTTTGTTGATGTGATTTAACTTAGCTGATCCTTGGCCTGCATTTAAAATAAGCAACCCCCCTCCCCCAAAAAACCTTTGTTTTGATCTGTCCTACTTTGTCTTTAGAGAAGCTCTCTCAAAAGAGTTAAATGTCATTTTGTGGAATAGCTTTGTGATCTTTCATGACTTTATGCCTGCAGAACTTGCTTAAAATCAAGTGGATGCCTTTTTGATAAACTCTGCATTGTTAGAAGTTTGTATAAAATCTTAAGTATGTTTCTTTGAAACAGCAGAAAAAGAATAGGAATCCATGTTAAGATACATTTCTCTTCTGGAACTGGAATTACTTAAAAACATTTATCAGAATGAATCAACACAGATGACAAAGTCCAAGATGAAAATGCAGAATTTCGACTTTAGTTTAAAAAAGTCATATCTGATATGCAAATAAACTGTAATTTGCTTACCACCAAGCAAATCAGAAGGCTGTGCATGCATTGCACTCTTGCATTTCAGAGGTGATATGTGCATATCAGGAGATCCAGGTGCTCTAGTTTTCCATATATTGTGACTTTATATAACCATTCATAATGAAGTAGATTCTGAAGTTTAAGTACATAAGCACTTTCAGTATCATTTACCAAAATGTTCTTTACAAATGTCTTTGGGTATTAATCTCTAGAAACAATCATGCTTAACAACACAGAAATATTTAGATATCTAACTTCCTTTTTCTTTTCACAGACCCATAATCACAAGGTTATTGGATCCAGAGACTATTAAAAAATGCTGGTATTGCACCTTCTGAAACATTTAGCCTTACAAATCCTGGGACCATTATATTATTCCTTCCTTTCTTCTTTTTGCATAAATGTGGACTCAAAACACATGACCTGCCTCAAGAGAATGCTTTTGAGAGAATGAAAGCAAGAACATACTTGGTATCTGACTTCTGCTGGAATGGAAGGAAACAAATCTCTTGCAAATGAGAATTGTCTTCATTGAACAAGCACACTTCTTTCAGTAGGAAAGACATTTGTTTTGCTGTTTATCACAGTGCAGTGTCACTGCCTCTCTAACTGGAGGTCCCATGGAGTAGCATTTTGTAAAAGAACATCTTTGGATGTGCTGTGGACTACTTAAACTAAAGACCTTTCATTGTGTGGGGAGATTTTTTTTTGGGGTGGGAGGGTGAACTCTAATGCTCTTTTCTTTAAGGGAGGGGGGACAATTTCTTTAATGGGTTTTGCGCTACCTTGGTTTACATCTATTTAACTTGTAGAAATTATCCTCTTAATTTTCCATCTTTCAGATGAAAATGCAGGCCTTGACTTCTGGGGGGACAGGGGGTGAGCTAGATCAGCTGCTCTGTTATACAGGACAAAAACAGACATCCTAAAACTGATTTCCATGGTGGGAGGGGGAAGAAGAGGATAAAAACTGGCACACTGGATCACATCAGCTTTGGGAGAACTGGGATTCACAATTAGATTCTGTTTTTTGCCTGGTTAAATGCAGATCTTTCTTACCATATCTGAAATAAAACATTTAAAGGTGCCAGAGAGCACCACCATCTCAACTAGTACTGTGCTGTCCTTTAGGGAACCAGCATATGCTTCATATTTTATGGTTAAAAAGGCACAAAAACAATAGCAATGAAAAGCATTCCTTTGCTGCATGCCATAGATGCTTTAAGCCCCTCCCTTCTTGGGGAGGGGAAGGGGCCTGTAGATAAAATACTTAAATTGTAAAATATTTATTTTTACTTATCCTTGATGTTATAACTGAGGGATTATTGATTAAAACAAAAAGAAATGCGTCGAGACTATCCACCTAATTGTTACAAGTCTTCATGACTAAGATTGTAAATACAGATTATTTATTAACTCTGTTCTATACTGAAACTAGAGTGTTTTTAGTTGAGAAAAATCTTGTTTGGACCAGATAGTGGTGATGTATTTGTTACAAAGAGCAATTTTCCCATAAAGGATTTGAGGCATAGGGAAAAGTGGCAGGGTTGAGAATGGAACGTGTGTTTTCTCAGTCTGAGCTCAGTGTTGGCTTTTCCTTTCTTTGTGCAAGGCAGTTGGTAATCTGGCAGGCAACTGTTCTGCAGTGTTAAAACTCAAGTCGTCTTAGGGCATAGCAGTCCCTGTCTCATCCATAGTGTTAGAGATGAGGGAATACCTTTTACATACGTTCTTAGCAGTTAGTGCTGTGGAATGGAATGTCTGCAGTGCTCTACCACTGGTCACTGCCTGTCACAAAAACAGTATCTGCCCTGAGGAGGCTGCAGAAAGAGGCATAATGACCACAATCAATATCTATTCAGAATTGCTATTTGTGCCACTGCATACTACACATTGTAACTAACAATGTGCAGCTACCAAGGAAGGAATTCTTTACAGACTAGACAGGATTTCAGCAGCCCCTTGTAGAAGAGGGAGAGGGCTTGATGTACATTAGCAGATGACTGTTTCCCCAGTGGAAGGGGCAGCATCCTTATAGCTACAATGTTTCCTCCAAAAAGGAAAAGAAATGAACACAGTGAAAGTTTTACGTACAAATATTACCTCATTGTTGTATGACTGAGAAAAACCTTAGAATCAAGCAGAGTTCAAATGTCTAACAAACTTTAAAGCTACTGTAGTACTAAGAAGTTAATGCTGTACATAGTCAAAAATTCTTTGCAGAAAAGTGTATTCCCAGTAAGGAAATGGCATTGGAATAAATGCCAAATACAATTTCTAATGTTGTGTTATATTTTTCTGTCATCTTGTATACCATTGCTTGTATTTTTATAAATTATTTTTCTTGTTGCCATTGTTATAGTTAATCACGTAATGGTGTAGATATGCTATTTAAATAATTTATCATGAAATGCTACCTGTAGAGTTAGTATTTCTATTTTTATAAAATGTTTGCACACTGAACTGAAGATTTTTTTTTGCTTCCCTCTTCCCCATGTTTTTGCTAGCATAATTTTCTAAGAATATGCCTTTTTGTAAACATTTTTAACCATTTTCCATTTTAAAGCTGTGTAAGTTGTACAATAAAGCTTCTTACATACAAGGAACAATAAACCAACATGAACATTTATATTTACATCTTCCTGACCTAGTTTTATTCATTCTTTGTGGTACTTCCATGGATCACTGAGATGCTAATATATGGCTGTTATTCATGCCAAACCAGGCTTCAAAACAAGAGCTCTCTACAGTCTTTACAAAGGAACAATGCTTTTCCCAGAACTTAAAACAAGTCTGGGTCCACCTGACATTTCATCCCAGCTATAACCACACATCCCTCTGAAAGCACTTATGCACTTACATAGCATGAACAGTTAGCAATTTTGATCCTGAAGTCATCAGTGAGGATTCATGTGTGTAGACATAGCTACACTGCCCTTCATGAAGCCACATGCCCAAACAACTTTTCAGGAATTTTAATTGTTCCCAGGCAGGCCCACCTCATCTTTCCTTCTGTTCATATGCAAGATATTCATCTGTCAATATCTCTTCTGGCCTGAGAGGACTAGAGTAATTGAAAAGCTGATGATAAGGCACTAAATCATCTGCTGGAACACACTGCTTAAAATAAGTGCTAACACTAGTTCCTCAGTCTTTACTTACGGCATTCAGTTGCGGCCTGAGCTCTACAGCAAACTCAGGTAGCTACAGGAGGAGTGCTACATATCTTCTGCCAAGAAGTATATTTAAGGGGAGTTGCAGAAATACAAACTCTATCTTTTTCTGCTGAAGCAAATTCTGCACTGGCATAGATTTAATTTAGCTTTACACAGCTAAATTCACAGCTTTTATTTTCCCTTTTCAACTTTTACCTCACATAGTTGTCAAGGCACTGAAATGACAATTTAATTTTACTTATTTTTTCCTTTTTTGGGGTATTTGATGCTTTATAATATGTTACAACTTGATCTCGCTCTTCATGTTCAAAATCATGTAGCTACATAAACATGCATATATATTTATATGTATGCTATACATATTAAAGCCTCTTATAGCTTCACAATGATGTAGAATAGGGAGGGTATTGAAGGAACTCCAGCTCCATGGATTCACAATGTGAGAAAACAAATTATAAATTATGCAGCCCTGATAATTTCTCAGGCAGCAGCGCAAGCTCCTGAACATCTAGCCTGTGAGCACAGTCAGATCAATTCAGCTTCACAGATCTTGGTGTGTATCAGAAAATGGTGCTCCTATCTAGTGACTTTTTAGTGTAGAACCATTATCCCTCCCTTTGGATTGTTCACAAGAAATAACAAATGACAACACAATGCACAACGCCACACTCCCAGCAGCGTTAGCTGCAGAAAAGGGCCTGCAAGCACACTTACCATTTTGCTAGGACACATATGAGCAGAAAAATGGAAGTTCAGTTGGATCTTTACCTGCAGAGCCTTGCTATATTAGTTACGCAAATTGCTACTGGGCTGCCTTGCTGTGCTGATTACAGAAAAGCTCTGTATTCAAATAAAGTTGGGAAGAACCGGCCCATACTAACTTAAAGGAAAGGGAACATCTGCAAATACAAATAGAAAGTCATCCCATGCTGCCAGCTTTCTCTTTCACAGGACACTGCGGAGCAGATAGGGCACGGTAAAATGGAAACAAAGGGAGTTAGGGAAATAGGGGGTAGCTGGCTGCCAGTCCAGAGTAGACTATTGACTCACCGAAGAAAAAGCAGATTGGGAGGGGGAGGGTGCAGATAAACAGCATTTAGGGTTTCTGCAGCAGAATGGGGAGAAGAGACTTTTGTTTTGTTGTTTTAATTATAGAATCACAGACTAGCTGAGGTTGGTAGGGACCGCTGGAGATTGTCTAGTCCAACCTCTGATTAAGGATCACTTTTCAAAACCCACGTGAATCAGAGCTGCTTTAAGAGCAGGGAAGGCTGAGAGGCAATGAGTACTCAGGGTTTCAAGAGATCAACCACAACAAAGACTGGTTATGCCTTGCCCTTCAATCACTAGGGGAAAAATACTTTGTTTATTGTCATGGTGACTACAAAGAGAACGCAGAGTCCTGTTCCGTGAGTTTTTTTTCCCTATTTTTCTGTCACTACTCTTTTGAAGACAGTCCTCTACATCTTATTTTATCCCAGTGAGAACAAGGAGAAAAACAGCAAAAAAAACCTCCTGACCTGTTGCTTCCAAAATATGAGCAGCTGCTGAATTTCTGCCCTAAACAGCTACAGTCTTCTCTGCTTCACTTCACTGGAGTGAGAAGTGGTATGCTAGTGTGCAGCTGCACAGTGTAACCCTTTCAATCTTATCTGGGCCTGCTGCACCGACTTCTGCAGCTCTGCTCTCAAAGGCTCTGCCTCCCAGGGCCACCAAGCAACACAACTACAACAAACACAGAAAGTTCCTGCCTGGAGACATATCTTTACCATACTTGCAGCAAGTACAAAATACTCTGGATTTGGAAAGTCAATTAGTTCTATAAACGGCCGTGTGTGTGTGTGTGTGTGTGTGTGTGTGTGTATATATATATATACACATATATATTTATTTATTTATTTATTTATATGTGCATACCTTTAAAAAAGAGAAGCCGCAATACATGAAAAAGAATAACACAGGTGCAATCCATCAAGAGCAGCATCTGCCCAAGAGAAAGGATGAATGCTACCCATGATTTGGCAGCAACATATGCAGTTCCTAATTGCTGCTGATGTGGAGGAAGATCCTCTTGGCAGCCAATTCCAACGACCTTGTTTGAGCCCAAGCCAAACTTTCACACTAATTTATTATATCCATTTACATAGCATATATCAGTGTAGCATCTGAATTAGAGATGATATATGGTTTAGAATAATAAAGGCAAGCCATCTGTCTTGTGTTAACCCGTAGGTTAAGTAAGTCCATGCACTGTCTCTTGGGGACTGCAGATACAGTGGGACACAAGAAAGGGCTATAGATGAGGAAAGGCAGGCCCATACTTACCCAGGCAAAAAAATGACAGACAAAAACCGAGCAGGAAGAACATGGAAAATGGCTACACTCTACAACAGCAACAAATGCCACAGGTGAAGTCTGTTGGAAATATCCTGTTGCCAGCTCCCTGGAGTCTCATCAGTGGGACACTTAACTGCACCAACTAACGCATGCTACTTCTAGCATCAGTGGGTACCTCGCCAACTTCTTTTGAATAATTAAACCTTTGAGTTTAATGGTATTGCAGAGAGAGAATCACAAGTGTAACGTTTTCTTACCATAGTGTGCTCTTCTCAGAGCCCATGCAACTTCAGGAGCTTAAGTCTTCAAGTGGCCATCTGCATTAAACCTATGTATGTTCAACATGTGTAATGTAACCTACAGAGACAGATAACCTATTGACATAAAGACTGAAATAACCCTTAGAAAGGTAAGCATCTTAATGATAACAATGCATTTGACTACTGATATCACTATGATTTCGTAACGAAGTCCGTAAAACGGCAATTGGCTGATTTTCAACATAAATTCACCTTGGAAAGGATTGCTCAGATTGTAGAAGAGGGAGCATTCTTAACGTATCTGCAAGGTGATTTCTAGTATTTATTCCAGATATTTTCCAAGAGAGAGAAAGCAGGTGCCCAAAGTTGTATGAATATTTAAGCACAGCTATGGTGAGAGGAAGAGAATTTATGTGAGAAAAGTGTTTGGCAAGCAAAGGCTTTAAAGATGAAACCTTCTATAGGAAATTCAGAAAATTAGACAAGTACCAGAGAGAAACTTGTATTTTCAAATTTATATAAATCCTAGGAATCCCTGTCATGATTAGTCTTTAATTTTCAATTGGATTAAAGAATTGCTAGCCTAGGCGACACATACAAGAGCTAAACTGAGTGCTACCTAGATACTATGTCAAAGTCTCCCTTGATGGTTTCACTCACAAAACGCATTCAGAGAGGCCATTTTAGTGCTATCACTGAATTAGGGTAGAATGCCTCAGGCAATACCTTTCCCACCAAAACTAGGCATACCAAATACACAAAGTAAACAATAGGGAAAAGAATGGTATAGAATGCCACAGAATAGTATTTCAACAACAAGATAACGTTCAAAAAAAATTTAAGTGAGGGGAAACAAGCTCTAAATCCAGAATACCTGTCTCTAAATCAAGATTAAGTTGAAGTACTTTGTCACTCTAGATATTAGTGTAGACTTCTGTGTGAGCATGTCAGTTTGCTTTTTTAAAAAAAAAAATAGATAAGGTACTGCAGATTCAATTGCAAGCAGTAAACTATTTCACATAGACTTAAATAATGACAGGGAGCCTTTCATTCTACCTACTGCACCTGGATTCCAGCCAATCTCTCAATGAAACGTATAATTGGATAACTGTAGGTTATAGCTTTAGTAGTGTTCAAGCACTCCCATCCTATTTAAAAAGGAAGCACTTTTCCTGACCTTTAAATCTAGCTTCAAATAAAATTATTTCTCAACAAATAAATCGGTTGAGGATATAAAAATTCACACTTACTATTTTTCCTAGTTTTTAAACACCTTCTTAATTTAACAACTTCCCGAGTATCTGCCAAACCATCTCATTTTCTGTGTCTACCCTTTAAACTGTAAGATTCTCATAGGTGGGGCTCTTTTGGTAATTATGGCAGGAAGCACTCTTGCAAACGTAAACAACTTAACAGATTTTGTACCTAAAAAGCAAACGATAGATTTTATTTAAAAGCTGTGGTTAGAAAAACATTCAAAGAAGGGAAAGAAAGAGAATAACCACATTCTCATATTATTTTCTGAAATTTTATCTGGGAAAGAGGGTTTTTTTTAATAAAATCTAAAAATTCTGATCATTACTGAGAGGACAGAAATTCAGCTGAAAATAACAGCCTCGCAGCTATTCCTCCCTGATTAGAAGGTAACTGCGCCCTTTCCAGCATATGAATTACAGACATTCTTTGTCCTACTTCTAGATTAGTCCTTGCTCCTGTAATGCTTGTAAGAAAGCAACCATTTCCTCTCTGATCTCTGCAGTAGATAATCTTTATACAGTTTTTAATCTGTGCTCAGACTGTCCAGAGACTCTACAGAAGTCCTACTCAGGAAATGAGAGAGAACACATGCTGTAGAGTCCCACAAAGCAGGTAACAAGCATAGTCGGGCCTTGAAAATAGAATTTTGATTGTGGATTTTTGTGTGGCTTTTTCCTCTATTTTTTAATCAGAAAGCCTTTTTTTCATCCCTTCTCATAATTACTTTTATATTAAACTGGAATACTGCATGTGTGGTTAATATAGTATTTTATTCTTATAATTTCAAGTCTTTTATCATTGCTGTCTATAGTCAATACCTCTTTTTTCAAACAGGAAATTTAGTCTGTCACATCTCTTTGAAAATGGGGAAGAGTCTCAATCGCTGTAAATCTGCACAGAACTTTTTGTACCATTACATTACAGTAACTCAATACCACATAGATCTTCAAATCATCATACCCAGATATATATATGTAGAGATATATATATACACATACATGCACACACACACACACATACACACATACATAGCTCTCTGTTACAACTATTTACCATAAAATACTAAACAATTTAGCAGTAGATCATGAAAACGATTCAGATCAGATGATTCAGAGAAACAACTCAGAGATAATTACCCTTATTTTCCTGTTTCAGAGGAAAACACTATGAACTTTGCTATTTAAAAAGGTCAACCACGCAGAATTGAAACATAGACAGTACGGTAAATCAATATCAACAGCTGAGCACTGGCCACCACAAACACTGCACTACACTGATGTTATTAAAGAGTCTCAGTGACGATGACAGAATGGTTTGGTCATACCTTGCTCAGAAAACAGATACACCAAAGTCTCATCTTCATGGGTTTCTTGCTTTCACATATGTTACATTTTTGGTACAAAATTATTCACTCTGTGCTGTAAAATCATACGAAATAAGACTAGGAGCACACGACAGTATAAAACTATACGCACACACAAACTTTGTCTTTCCACAATAAAAAGCAGACCTCAAAGCCAAAAGTCTGAGGGATAACTAACTTTAAAATCAGTCCCATTTGCTCTGCTACGTTTTGGGGTGAACAGAGCTAGAAAAGCTAGATGCCAGAACCTTTTACATAATAGCATTTATGCTGAACAAAGATCTTTATTTTGGAAAACCTGTTTCCAAATCCTCAGTTAGGCTGCACATGAAAATTCATTTAGATATCTTAATCATCACTGTTGCATCACTACACCAGGATAACAGTCATCCCCGTTCCAGACCAGCAGGCAGCCTGATTAAGAGTGAGCCATAAGAAGGGGTTATTGTAGGTCACAACTGAGAGACCCTGCAAAAACAAACGAAAAAAACATGACTTCTCCCGGCTCAACTTTGTTTTTCCCCTGTGATTCCCCTGGTGATGTTTCAGCAAATGACCTTGTCATTATCTTTTGTCTCCATTATTATTTATTATAATGTATTAGTACTATGTATTATTATTGTCTCCATTATTATTTATTATTAATAACTGTGTTGCGCCAAATAATTTTATTTCCTCCAGTTTTACTTAAAATAAAAAAGAAGTACTTGAATTGATATGTCATCTGTTATGTCAAGTAAGAAATAAAATCCTCCTGAAGAATCTCTGATTTAATATAATGCAACAGAAACAGATAAATACTAAGTCAGTAATTTTCAACACCACCTCTGAGTTTGAGTATCCATCTTAAGAGTCCTTGGACCAGCATTTTATAAGTGTTAAGTACCAGCAATTTGCACTGGGTATTCAGCACTTTCCAAAATTTGAAGAGAAATAATAGACTTATTTTTAAGACTAGACTCTCCAAATCAACAGTCATGCAAAGGTATATGCTTATCCCAGTAATGCCAGATGAGAATAAAAAGATGTATTTATGATTTCAGGAACGTTGTAAGGCCTCGTCAGTGTCAAGGCTCTCCCTTGAGGATGCTAGAAACAGCTTGTTCATAACAGTGAAAGATTTAAGACAACAAAATAAACAAAAAAGTAACAATGAATTATTATTTCTCTTTCTATTGTAAATATTCTAAATGTAAAACTAAAAGAGAACAGGTTTTCTTTAAAAATTATCCTAGCTCTTTAACACTATTTTTAAGAAGGATTCTATAAAACTACACAAATTCCACGTATAACTAACAGGACTTTGGAAGCACTACCATCAACGAACAGCCCTGCTTGAATATCACGCAGACACAGCAAATACTATCGAAAAAACTTGTCAAAACTGCTTCGATTATATTTATGGTATAGAAAGGAAATTATGACACAGGTTTATAACTTTTAAGGAACATAAGAATTACATGTAGTTGAGTAGATTCACAAAGCTCTGTGAAATCTGCTTACAGTAATCCTTTTACACAGGGCAGTGGGACAACGTGGAATGGCCAGTATTTGTTTGCTTTTCTTGCTAATGTTGCAAAACAAATATTAGAAAAAATAAATAAAAACAATAAATATCACTTGGAGGTGACAAAATGAATGTCCCAGCTACACTTTTTAATGAAAACAAGTATCAGTTAGATTCTAATCTCTGTTATAGCCATATGATTATACCACTTCCTCAGGAGTGTAAATCCACTCCAGCTGGCAACTCTGTAAATGAGATTAAAATCTGGCCCATTAGTCTGAAAATTCAGCGTAGCTCAAGCATACTCTGTGCCATAACCCAGCCGTCGCAGAGGCTACCCTGCGTCCACACATGTCTTCTTTTGGAACGTTAAATAGCCGGTATAGTATCTGAGACAGAATTTGTCCTTTCAGCTTGTATTAAATGGGAGCTTCTCAGCGGGCAAATCTGTGGCGTTATCTTTGCTAGAATGTCTGCCCCCACAACATTTTCAGAGACCCTTGTTTCTAGTAATTCTTATTGTCACACTATGGTGCATAAGATGAAAAACTAAACATCAATTCAGTAAATATGCAGAATATTCAAGAGAAATGATAGTTAAAGGGCAGACAGACAAAAATCTGCCGTGAATTTTTACTATTATCTCAAAAACAAACAGCCTTCCCCCCGCAACTATCCATTACTATAACGCTTCCCATTCCAGTATTGTCTTTCCAATAGTGTTAGGACAGACTTCTGAACTCTCACTTTTATTCACACAAAGCCTCCACAAGGGTCTGCAGATCCGATCCTCATTATGTTAATGACATTTCCTTGCAAGGTAAAGAAGTAGGGGAACAAATGATACTGAAGTCCTCTCCGAGGACTGTGGCATGTACCTCACTGTCTTTCATAAGCACGCCAGGCTTCTTCACTAGAGGATAAGACTGTTTGCAGCGTGGTTACATTCTTCGCAGGACCACAAAACAGACAAAGAGCTGAGCAGACTGGTTCTGATCCAGCAAAGGACTTGTGCAAGTCTCTACCTTTAATCAAACCAGCAGCCCAACAGACGTCCCCCGGGCAGAACATTAAGGTACTAGGTAGCAGGTAGCTAGGTACTTCACTGAGTCGGAGCCAACCGCTCAGCAGTCTGACAGGCTGCTAGCTCCAGCACACCCTACTGGGGTTTGGTTTTAGCTAACTAAGGTTTGATCTTAGCTAACTTCAGGAAAATAGTAGATTTTATGCAAGGAAAGAAAAATAAAACTATTATTATACACATGCGACACATCTGTGCTAATAAAGTCTCATCAATAAAAATGGAACTTTACACGTTTCGTTTTACATTTTTCATAAATACAAACATGCATATGAATCTCTGTCTATAGTTAGACAGCTACATACATGCATGTGTACATTTATTTATTACATAGAACACTCCCAGGAAATTTAATGAAGAACAAGAATTTTTATTTTGTAATCCAACTGTACCAATATATCATAACAATAATTTTCTCTTAAGAATAACTTATTTCATGGAAAATTTTGCAATAATGATAATTCATTGCCTTCGGAGTGTCTGAAATGATACTGTATCAGTGTAATACCATTGATGTAGACTTAACTGCAGTTTTAGCAAAACAGCTGCATAAAGAAGCATTTAATCACTCTTACCGCAAACTTCCATTTTCATATCATCTGTAAAAAAGAACGGATCATATACTGAAGGGCTGAAAGCATATTATTATTTTTAAGAGGGGAAAAGCAACAACAGGTTGTGATAATCACCTGCTTAAAACTTAACAGAGTAAAAAAAAGCTGGAAACAATTACCAATTGGCTCAAACAACTGAGAGAGAACAACTTTTTGATATATGTATTTGGGTAAGTCTGGCTTCTGCTTATCTCAGTAAACATCATGTGTCTTTACATGCATATGGCCCTAGTACAAACTACCATTCCTTTCAGAGAAGCAGGAATTACTTATCTCTGAAGGCACATGAGAGTTTCCGTAATATTTATAGAATTTAATAATGCTAATATATATACATATTTCATAAAGCTAATAACAGTGTTTTCCTCAAGATAAATACATGCATTTTAACCTATTACAGTAAATCTGTATCACAGATTACAGTACTACAATGACTGAAAGACTGAAATTCTGCTAAACCAGTTTTACACAAATATAATTTTGTTTGCTTACCCAAAGTTTAAACCATGTGTAGCAAGGTAGAAAATCAAAATATTTATTTATTTATTTAAATGTAGCTAAATAGTAATTATTTAAATGTTTAAATAAATATTTAAATGTTAATTTTAGACACGTTTTAGTGTTATAGTAAACATTAACTGGATATTATAAAATAATTAATTCAAATTTATACATATGGATAACTGCAAAATATTTGGCACTAATGTAATAACAGTTACAAAACTCAAATTTGACTTTTATTTTGAACTTCCTTTTATTTTGCCTGAAGATTACCTTCTCACACGATGTTTAAAAAATCTGACAGATGACTGAAATGGAATCTGACACAATGACTCAAACTCTGCTGCGATAGTGATATCTGCAAAGAATTCTCCTTGTTTTTTTCTTAGTTTTTTAGTAAAAAAGAAAATATTTAGAGACTTTTGAAAATTCAGGGCACTTATTTTTTTTCCAGACATATTAGGTCACTAAATGACTGGTAAATCAAGATGTACAGATTTGTAAATTAACTGTACAGATTTGAGGTCTATACGCTTGAATATTACTCAACTGCTACGGAAATAAGTAGTCAAAACACCACATTGTGTTGCTCTGACACAATAAGCGATTATGACTCAAGGATCTTTAAATTACGTGATAAACATAACACTAGTCACTTTGCAGATTCTTAAAAACTTTATGAGATGTCCCATATGGAAAACTGCTTAACAGTAGCGTGGTCTGCTGCAATATCCTTTTCTCTCTTGTGCAATAAAGTTACCACATACTGACTATACCTGTTCCAACAGGTTCAAACAGTTACCTGCTCAGGTCTCACCATAATGGCTGCAGTGCATGTTTTGCTTGAACTAGTATAGCCCACCTTAAAATACACTAATAAAGAGAGAGCAAAAATGAAGTTGGTAGAAGGCTACTATTGGGAGACTATCAGTTCTCCTCAAAAGAGTGAATATGATTTTCTATTACCAAAAAGATAATCCACATGTATAGTCAATAGTGTTTTCCAGCTGACAGAATTAGTCACCATCAATATTTTATTTCATAACAGTTCTAGTCTCACAGCCAGTTAGGTTAGGGCAAGGATTTTGATAAACATTCTGTTATTTTGTGCGTATTGTTTTTGGCATAGTTTTATGTTTTATAAAAGTATACCCTTGCCCTACCGTAATAATCAGTGTGTATTAGTGCATACCTTTGGTGAGAATCTGTCTGGCTTTCTTCATCGTAATCAAAAGCCTATTCTAAAGCGTTGTTAAGAGTCTCACCTCCTTTGGTTTGCAGTGGTATGCTGAGAATGTCAGTCTTCCTGGATGGCTCATTGTTCATGCTGATGCAATACAACGGTTCACCCAAGAAAGAAGGTTTCTTCAACTTTTTTGTGTTGAGTGCTCTTGACATAAAGTAACCTTCAGTAATACTCTTATCTCCCATCTTCTGTAAACCTTGTAGATCACCAGGTTCCTCTGTTTGGGGTAGTGAATCCTTTGGTAAATGACTATTAACCAACGCTTTGCTCAGATAGTAGCCAGGGATTTCACTCCCTGCATTAACACATAAGCTTTTGTCTTCAAGTCCAGCGTTTTCCTGAGCTGTTAACATCCCTACAATATGGTCTTCAACTAACATTTTGGAAAGAGTAGATGTGGAGTGAAGAGTGGAGTCTTGACTTGTGTAACAAGGCGGACGTAATCCACAAAAAAGAGATTCCTGAGATTTTGGCATGGTAACGTTGCTCATTGTTCTCTGAGACGGCACACATTCTTCCAGAAGGGTCTTAAGCTGCTCTTCAGAGAGGCCCATTTGTTCTTCAGTCTGAAAAAACAGGGCAAGAATTTCTTTCTGTCAAAATATAATTAATGATAAGTAGCACCATAAAACAGTTTGAGAGATAGAAAGGCGCTGGCAGAGCTCTTAAACTGTTATCAGTGTTTCTGAATTCAAACTACACTTAAATATGCAAGTACCTAATTGTATCATTTACGTAACATCTCCACTGGGTTCTAGATAGGTTATACACTGATAGTTCAGAAAGAAGCCTGATGCCCATGAGGCACTGAGAGGCCTCTCATTTCACTTAGAATTTTCCGCAGGAGATCCCTGTGTTTTAACTATCAAAGCACATATTTTCTCATATATATGGATGTGTGAGAATGATGTGGGGATGTGTGACACACACATGCACGCACGCTTTCAGATTTCAGTTACTGAAACTAAAACTGCACATTGCTATAAGATTTTAAGCCAGGAGGGCGATACAGTTGGGGGCAGGAATGGTTTTGGACAGCACCAGCCCACAAAGGTTGTCACATCTTGATTAGACTATTCCTAGCTGCTCAAATGTATCATAACTTCTCTCAGCCATGTGACAAAAAGCACATTAGTTACTCATCTACAAGACCTAATACATAAAGCAGGTCAGAACGACAGAAGAAAACCCCTTCCTCTGTATTACAGTCTTAACTTCTTTCAAGAGCTGCCATTGCTTGGGTAGCTCACAGATGGACCTTTTCAGTCTGTTTCTTATTCAGCCAACAGCAAACACTAATCATTTTTATCTTGGAGGTTTACTTTACTGGACATTTCTTAAAAGCTGATATCAAAGATAATGACTGATATTAGCAGGTAATGGTGAAGAATAGGAAAGTGTATTTTCCTTAGCGACGGTTTGCAATGGGAAGTTACTTCTAGCCTTTACAATCCTTAATGTTTCTTGGTAATAAAGAAGCACAATACCCCCTAACATTTTAAAGCTGTTAATGACAAAAATACCAGACATATTTTAGATACATTTGCCCACAAAATGTGAGATATAAAAGATACAAAAAGATATTTATATTTATATAAAATAAATAGTATAGGTACTATGTAACATTTACTGAAAAGGTATCAAATATATTTACTTTTGTTTTCTAAAATCAAAACTTTGGTTCTACCCAACCTTAAAGAGATAACAGATCAGCTGACAATCTGACGAACTCCCTAGGGCTGCAGAGATTTGTATTAAATAATGATTTTATACATTGCATTATGACTACTATACAGAGTTTACCTTATGTTGGGACAGGGAGCTAGTATTATTTTAAAGGAAATATCAACATCAAATCTCTATTTGATTATTTTTCCTGAAGGTCTCTTATCCAGCTACAGAACTGATATGACCCTGTTTGGTGCACGTGACTTGATGAGATCACAGCCTGAGTAGCACAGGGTGTATGAATAACATCTGAAAACTGTTTGTTCATATTAATGAATAGGGAAATTTTTCATTCAAGAAGAAACTACTACTCTTTTGCTCAACTTGCTCTGGGTATTAAAAATTACAAGCTGACAGTACAAAATGAGTAAGACCCAGATTCAACGTCATTTTCAGTCACCATTCTGTATTTAAATGTTCAGACATTAATGATAGCTAATAGCCGCTATTACATCCTGATTACTTTACAGTACAGGCACTATTTGATGCACTTAAACTGAGTTTTACAGATGTATTCAACTTTTTTTTTTTAATTGGACTCTTCCTGTACAGACCAGTATCATTCCCAAAGACGCTCTGAGTTCATTTTCAATGAGTATAGCAGAAGATCATTCTGTTAAAGACACTCAGATGTTTGTTGCTTTTAAACAACCACAAGTCCTTAACTGACTGTTATTGTGTGTAGACAGCTTTGTTTAGATTAACAAAAAATCAGGTAACTATACCGAGATTCAACTAACCTTGATATCAATCAATGCAGTTTTGATTATGTAACTAAAATTAAGTTGCAGCCATAAGCACTGAACACTTAATTAGATATCAGACAAAATTATGACCCCTTCAAACTCTTCTCAGGCTTTTGAATTTTAATCCTAGTGGAGAAAATACTGTTGAAAAGCAAGTCAGAGAGGGGAAAATGACTAGCAGCAAAACACAGGAGAAATCAAAAATGAAACTTGGATCTTTTCAAACTTTCACTCTAAACCTAATCTGCCAGCCCATGCTGGATCCCTTACGTTTCTTGAGGGAGTGTTTTAACTTGCAGGACAATGTCTGATTGCAGGTACTCGCTATTAGGTACAGCACCACAGTAATATAGTAATACTGCTTCTGAGAGCACAGTTACATCTAGGGTGAGTATATCCACACAGCAGATTATGCTATGTAACCATAACTATATTTATACCAAAGAAGAGTCGCACATCTGGAAAACCACACGGAGTCCCATATGTTTTTCAGCATCTGGTTCCATATTTACGTATCTCAAAGCTCTTGGCCAAGACCATATGGAGTTAATTTTATGCTAACGACAGGACAATTCACTGATTACAGAAAGGAATTCAGCATCTGGTGTGAATGAACGAGTAAAAAATGAGCGCAGTTAGGAAGATCATCTTGTCCTGCCTTTCTTTTTTCCTTTATTCCCCACTCCTACCCCCTAACCTGCAATCTTCTTTTCCTCCTCCAAGTTTCATTTTTCCTTTTTCCTTTTATGAGGAAAGTCACATGGCTTGTATTGACAATTAGCTCATAGAGGCAGAAGCTAATTACTTTGATTATTACCAGAGGGCCAGGTGGGGAGATTTAGGACCTAAGGCCAACGAGGAGAGGAATGACTATAACAGCTACGGAGTTTGAAAGCATTTGGTAACTGGTGGGCTTGTATTCCTCCCGAGTGGCAGGCCTGCAGGCAAAGCAGATCGAGTAAAATATTGTTTATTTTTGTACTGTCTTTGTCTCTTCCTTCCTTTGGATCACTTTATAAGACATGCTTGCAATGAAACAAAGAAACAGTATTTAGCATACCTCTCAGACAAACTCATGTTTTAAAATAATAAAGGCTTACTGTTTGCAATTATTCTGTGCCAAAGTCCTTTTAGAGTTAAGGAAAAACATGCAGAAGAAAAGACATCTCTTAAATAGTTGTGAGTCATCTGTTGGTAACCAGCAGCAAGAAATTTACATTGAAATTGAAGTAGAAAGGCTGCTGTTGCAATCAGGAAACTGAGTTCAGGGAAACATGTAATACCTGAGCAAGATAAAGGAGAAAGAGCTCACACCAAAATTACCTGTGCATTTGCAACCAAATGAGTGTTATAACACCTGGGGTCTCATAATGCAGCGATTGTATTAGGAGTCTCCAAAGCATACATTTGTACATAATTACCAGAAAAAATCTTCCCATAGTTAATTTTAATAGTTGAATCCCAAAACTTGGAAGCAACAGGAAAGGCTTAAGATGACACTAGATTCTACTTCCCTCAAGCGTTCATTGTCCTCACTGTAAATAAGTTACCACTTTTATACAGAAGAAAATACTTAAAGATACTTCTTTAAAAGCCACAGGACATAAAACTAATGTAATAGAAAATGCAGAAACAGCCCTCTAGACAAGGGAAAACGAGCTATTAGATCTGGTTCCCATTAGAAATTGGAAAACCTTTTAATTGTTTTGGCTAATTTTTAATAGGACATTGAGTCCTATTCATTTCCAAGGCTTTTTACTGTTAATGATCCAAAAAAACCAATTCCTAGCCAGCAGTTTAGGAGCCTACTAACGACCTTTTCTGTTTACGTGTGGCTAGTTTTTCATACGCTCGTGGCCCTTCTCTGCCTGAAGATTTTTTGTTCTCTGCTGAATTCCTCAGTGACATGGGTCTATAGAAAAAAATCTTACTGCATGTGGTAGGAATGCAAACTTGTGGTGAGCTATGGACAGACCTGCTGTGACTCCGGGCTTGCAAGTTCAAAGCTTTAGGATTGTTTTCCTGGTCTACACAGCAACCGAGATCAGATATAAGCATGTGGATAAAGCTAATAATTGATGATTTTTATTTCTAATTATAGTAAATAATCATAAAATGGCACACAGTAAATGAAGAAACACTAGAAAGCCAGGACTTCTTAAGGATTCATGTAGCAGGAAGAAATTTATATTTTGATTATATTTATATATACACTTTTATATTTTGCATTTATACGTTGTTGCTGAAAGTATTACAATGAATAGTTCTTATGATGCTTTATTTTCTTGAAACAATTCACCTTGGCGCTTTAAAGTTAATTTAGCTATATTTTTATTGAAATGTAGGGCTGTAACAATCAACTCTAAAGCAATGGTTCTCTTCCTGCTAAAAGGTTCCATTTCAAAAGTACATTAATCTACTGAAATAACATTCTGATTTTGGACATACCAGCACTGGAAGTTTTTTGCAAGTTTTAGTTATTCCTGACCGGTTAATAGTTTCTTGAACACACAGCTCTACCCTGTTCTGAGAAGGCAATCCTTGAGGCAATCCTTGCCCTGTATCTCCACATTAGATACTTAGTTCAACATGCACCGTCAATTGTAAGGCCTCGCTCACCTTCATGGAACAAAGTACCACGCACTTGTCCATGAACAGTACTAGCGAGTACTGCTGAGGAACATTAACACGCTGCATACAAAAACAAAGACACCATGTCATTGTTAAAAAGCTTCTTACAATTTTCAAAAATGCTACCAGGACAAAGTTCTTTTGCATCATGAAACTCATTATTGGTATCCGTAACCAGTAAACGAATTTATACTACGGGGATATATCCTTATGAGAGCCACGCATTCATTTCTAAAAAGAAATTCCTAAGTGCCCAGCATGTTATGTTAGGATTTCGGTGCTTGCTTGTTTGCTTTGAAAAACATGCAGGAAGAGAATATTCCTCTGTAAGGCTTATTTCAGAAGACAACGAGAGAAACTGTAACTAGAATAGATGATAAACATGCTTTCAACTCAGTTAAGTTGTTTCTGGAGAGGACGGTAACTTGTATGGATAGGGTGGTATTAAAAATTAAGACTAG